AATTAAAAAAAAAAAAAGGAATAAGCCATTGGTTTACGTAACATTATTCATTCAACTAAAACGTTTATTTATTATGCAATTTTTTCGTCTATTCAGTCAACATCGGTAACCCTCTTTGTGGCAATTCACAATTGCTTTTATTTTCATATTTAATATTACTTAATTTGTACATTTACATGGAAATTTAGGTAGTTTTGCAAACTTTTGACCAATTTTTATCAATTATAATGTACAAAGGACTATTTGCAAGAAAATCAAAACACCCAGTTCAGGGCACTCTCAACTCGACAGACAAAAATGACATATCTACACGTAAAACAAACACTTTGAGCCCTGAAGATGATCTCAATAAAGATCGAAACGTTGGTAAGATAAAGAAAATGTTTTTCTAAAACCTACGTCACACCAGACCACATCTCAAGACACTCATTTCATTTGTTAAGCTTCCGAGGACCTTTCATCAGGACTTAAAAACCATTTTGATCATTTACGTGGTTAACACCTTTGCGAATTTTCATTCAACTTATGCCTTTAAGGAGATAGAGAGTGTTTTATAATGGTTCTAGGTGAGCTCGGAAGTCTAATAAAGTTATGTTGTAAGATCCATTATTTTTTCCTTGTTATTAGAAGATCTGCCTGCTCTTGATGTGGCTGCTCTCGTGTATGCCAATGACATTAGAATTTCACTGTATAAACTAAGTTTATGGGCTTCTGAAAGGTCCGTTGAATTCAAATAATGGTTCTTGGATGTTGTAAAGATACAAATTTCTATGGTTTGGTCCACTGGTTAAATTTTGTGGTTTTCAACAGGACGATCACATAGAAAAACTGCTGAGATTTTTATTAAAAAAACAGTATTCCATACATTTCGAGTCCCCAAATTAGATAAATTAGCATGTTTTTAAACCTCCACTTTAACTGTGTAAATAATTTCACTAATTTCATGGTCCGCTTAACCAATTAATATATTACGATTAATTAAGGTTTTTAGTTGAGATAAAAAATTCAATGGCACGAGCGGGATTCGAACCCACGATCTTCGGCTAGATACGCCGCTGCTCTACCACATGAGCTATCGTGACCTCGATCCACTCGGACACCAACTTCCTATCTCAACCGCACCTTTTGAGTTTTCCCTCCTTTTTGCGGCATATCTAGCCGAAGATCGTGGGTTCGAAACACTAAAAGTTAAAACGAATAACGAGGTCACGATAGCTGAAGCGGTAGAGCAGCGGTGTATCTAGCCGAAGATCGTGGGTTCGAATCCCGCTCGTGCCATTGACTTTTTTATCTCAACTAAAAACCTTAATTAATGTGTAAATAAAGTAAGTAATTCTCCTTCCCACCGTTTCCACAGCTAGTGAAATTATCAATCGGAATTGTTATCGGTCCTATCACTGGAGCACCTTACCCATTCCATGGAAAAGAGATTCTACTTGGATACTTTTCTTGGTAAGAACTCTTACACAGAGTGTTTCGAATGTAAAATCCAACCATCGAGAAGTTTAATTTGTATGGGCGCAGTCTTTAAATTTTCTGCTAAATTTGAACCATTAAGATTCTTTCTATAATTTTGGCACTAAAACTTAAAACTAATAACCAGACTGGGTCTATTCCTTAGTTCTTTAAAGTCAAAAGCGGACTACTCCCTTTAAACGGTATTTTTGGAAAAGAGATAGAAATATGTAAATTATATTGTAATGTAAATGTTGTAAATTATGTTATTGTGCACTTTGAAGAAAGTCGCTTAATATGCAAACCCAAACTTTTAGCGAAGTTAAAATAATCACCAAAAAGAAAATATTTTAAATATTGTTAATTTTATTAAAAATGCATATAGTAAGTCTAGATGCAAAAAGGTCCGCAGTGTTTTTCAATAATATGATTTATCTCTCTTCGTTTTTAAATAATTTTTACTCAGTCATTAGTTCATTAATTTTACACACTCTGGATAGTTATTCGTTAATGAGTTTTTATTCTTAAGTTCAATATTTTGTTTATTTCTGTGTGTTCGGGTTAATTTAAAAGAAAAGAAATCTAGAGAATTTTCGCCATTTAATTTTTTTTATTACAGCAAATAGATTCAGCTGATTTAATAGATTACAACTCAGACTCCTAGAAATACGTAAATGGGTTGCTAGGTTCAGAGACAGAAATCATGTTTTTAAAGTATGTAAAACGCTCTGGTCATCTCTGATGAAGATGGCAAAATTCATGCTTTTTCAAAAATAACCCAACTAAATGACACAATACTCTTAACATATTTCATATGTCGGTTTTAACGTATCTGAGAGCAGCTCGAGCGATATATATGTTTCTCCCACGTTGAAAATTTATTAGACCTCATCTACATCTGCGATCCCATCTTAAAACTCAATGTTAACGCTGGATATGAAAAGTATTTTAACATTTTTGATTACTTTTTAAACGTTTTGGAGAGTAAAATCATGGGAGGAAAACGCAGCGACTCACTGTTAACAACTTAAAGAACCGAATAACACCCCAAGATGGTAAAGTGCAACTGGGGGGGTTGGAAAGGAATGCTTATTGGAATATCTTACAAGCTTCTTCCGCACTACCAACCCGTAAGTGAAGTGTATACTTGACCAAAGTCCAAGTGGCCAAAAAGAGGATTGTTTTGCAGACTCCCTAGAAAATGTTGGATATTGCCTGGGATGAGCTAATCTCGAGCATGTATTTTCCTGACATTGTACATTCATTTAATTACTTATTTGAGGCTTTATTAATCGGAAAAAATTTCCGCATTGAGAAATGCAGCAAATTCAGCTAGAAGTTCATCCCTCTCAAATCTGGACGTTCTGTGAGAACGAAATTACAAAATTGCATGGAAAATGGCAACTGGTAGTGGAAAAAATATAAAAATTGGTACAATTTTTATTACAATTGTTGACAGTCACCGGAAATTTTCATTAAATTTCCATTCAAAAAATCATACGGACTTATTTTACGAGCCGATATTTAATAGATTTCTTCAACTTTTAGTTGTAGTTTTTTATGAAGATGTTGTCTTTTACTTTCACCCCACCTTTAGAGTGAAATATTTACTGATGCTTGTATCAAATATTATTTCTGCAAATATATAAAGTCTCGACTCGGCGGCGTTGAGTCGTCCTGTAAATTATGTAAAAGAATACTTGATGAATTATTAAGAATAGCTGGATAGACCATATGAAAAGGATGCATTCTTTAAAAAGCTTCTTAAAAAGTCGAAGGAAATTAGTGTTTTTCTTTATTTCAAATTGGCCTTATTCCTGTTGTTTGAATAAAAAATTATACATTAAAGGCTGTTATAAATTTTACCAGGATAAAACAATAATAAAAAATTCTTAAGCACAATTGTTTTCATTTTTTTTTTTGTAATTTATCTTTATCACACTCTTATTGGCAATTTCAATTGGTAAAATGCTTAAGCATCTTAATTTTATATGTTTACAATAGCTTACCAACCACCTGACAATAACATTTTTAATAAAACTGTCAAAAAAAGAGAATTTTTTTCAAAAATATAAAAAAGAAGAATTTTGAAGAACCTTTATTCTATGCGAATAAGTCCTTTATTCTACTGTACTTGTACTCTACAGGTTTCCATTCTTGCCGAATAAGAAGATTAAAGAGAAAATAAACTTATCCGAAAACATTCGATGTTATCGTAGTTGTCTCTCGTACTTTCGGTGTAGCTTAAATTTGTGTAACTTGACATACAATGATTTCACTGAAGTATTTGAATCCCTTATGTACAATTGTCACTCACTTTTAGTTTAGAATGGGTATTGTATCATGGTTTTAATCAATGAGCTATGAAACATTTATCAATTGAATGAATTTGGTCAATTATTGACTCTGTTGCAATTTATATAAGTTATATACGAGTATATATTATTAAATAAATAAAATGATGACAATTCTAGGATTCAGGTGTTGTTCCTGGAAAATTCATCGGCACTCTCTCCCACACCAGAGATTTTATAATTATTTTTATTTTTCAATTAATTAAGGTTTTTATTGAGACAAAAAAGTCAATGTCACGAGCGGGATTCGAACCCACGACCTTCGGCTAGATACGCCGCTGTTCTACCACTTGAGCTATCGTGGCTTCGATCCACTCGGACAGCAACTTCCCACCTCAACCTCACCTTTTGAATTTTCCCTCCGAGTGGATCGAAGTTACGATAGGTCAGGTGGTAGAGTAGCGGCGGATCTAGCCGAAGGTCGTGGGTTCGAATCCCGCTCGTGACATCGACTTTTTTTATCTCAACTAAAAACCTTAATTAATTGAAAGATATTAATTGGTCAAGCGGACCATTAGTGAATTATTTTTATTAACCAACTTAACAGACTTAAGTTAGATTTTCCTGAGGGTACATCAGAGAAATTTGATTTAAATCCGTAGATTAGTAAGTAACTGAATGTACGTCAGTAATGATTGGAAATTTCTTTGAATAAATGTTTTTTAAAAACGGATTCGTAAAAAGAAATTATTTAACTCATATCAACATTACATATGTATAAGTTCTGAGGAAAGTCAAGTAAATAATAAAAAATAAATATTACTTAGCTAACTGCCCATAAATCTGATACACTACCCATCCTGAATCATTGCAAACAAATAAAACATCGACATTACATAAAAAATTTTAAAATTTACAAAATCTCATACAGTCTTGTTGAATAAAGCTAAAATAAAATCTTTTATCTTTAGAGGCTATTTAATAAAAATATAAAATTGTCTAATGTGTTGACCACATATTATTTTTAGTCTATTCAACATGTAAAAATAAAAGACTGCGCATAGAAAAATATTTTCTCCTATTTAAACTTTAAAGTACAGAAAATATTATTTAAAAGTGAATAAAATGACTGAAAAAATCAGTAAATTCTACACACATTTTTTCACAAATAGTACATAATGGATGTTAAAAAAATTCACTATTGTATAATTGATTTTTATATAAACAAATTAACTTAAAACAAAACGCGTTATAAATACATAAAAAGACCCGCAATATTCCAAAGTCAGTTGATAAATGTCGTTTTAAAAAAATTATGCGCACTTGTCAATTTATTTTAATTTTTGGTCTTCAAGCGTGCGATCATACGGCATCCCCGAGTATGAGGAGCGACTGCTGTTCGTAGAAGAGTGGTCAGTCTTCAAGAAGGACTTCCGTCGATGAGGGTAAAGGGTTGTGGGTTCGGTCCGAGGAAGAAGACGCCCTGGGTCCGGGCAGGACGTGCGGTCAATCCGGGTCATGTTTCAAATCGACTCTGAGCACCTCCAGGACCGCTCCGATGGTGACACTAGTCAAAATCAGTTCAACGATAGCTAATTGAAACTTGGTTTCATTGGGCCTAGAATAGAAATTTGACCAAGATTAGAAATTATTGTTTTATTAAATTTCAGGAAAACTTATACATAATTATACCTTTATCAAGTACATGGGTACCACAAGTGTATAAAAATAAACAGAAAATTTAAATATGCAAATTTCGTTTACAATTACCTTGCTTGACCAAAGGTGTTCTGTCAGTATTTTATTACATATAACAAAAAATAGTTTAACATTCAAAATAATGAAAGGAAAGTAGAAATTAAATAAAAATAAAGAATGATACTAAATAAGAAGCGTGTGATACTGAATAAGATTTATGTATTATAAACAGAAGTATTGTAGAAACTGTTAAGAAGAAATTTAAATCCAAATAGCCAGAGGTTTAATATACAATAGAATGAAAAAAAGAAAAAAAAGAGGTATAAAAAACCCAGATATTTTGAGCTACTATGAAAGAGAAAAGAAACGTGAAACACGGCGGAAGGGGGGAAAAAGGTAGAGAATAAGAAAAAGAAGATGAGTAAGACCGAAAGAAAAGATATAGAGATATAGCTAGAGAGAAAGAGGGAGGGAGGGAGAGAGAGAGCGAGAGAGAGAGAGAATGAGGAAGAGAAAAAGAGAGTAAGAGAAAGAGAGAAAGAGAGAGAGAGAAAAAAGAGAGAGAGAAAGCGAGAGAGAGAAAGCGAGAGAGAGAAAGAGAGAGAGAACAGAGAGAGAAAGCGAGAGAAAGAGAGAGAGAGAAAAAAAAGAGAGTGAGAGAGTAGCAGAGGGGAGCAGTAGAACAAAAAATAAGAATACAGTAAGAAAAGGCGTTAAATAAGTAAAAATGTGTAAATAGAGAAGACAGTAAGAGTGAGAGTGAGAGATCCAAAAAGATACTAGATTAAAACAATAAATGAATGAGTAGGATTTTATTAGAAGAGAAAAGATAAATGAATGAGTAGGATTTTATTTATAGACGCTTAATTTGGGAGGAAAGAGAGAGAGAGAGAGAGAGAGAGAGAGAGAGAGAGAGAGAGAGAGAGAGAGAAACCGAGAGAAGATTATTTGAGGTTGAATGTAAGGGAAAAAAAGATAATGTGAAAAGAGGAAGAGAACAATAGGACAACGAAATATGAAGAATATGTGCAACCAAAGAACGAAATAAAAAAGGAGAGTACGTATCGCATACTTTAATTTAAAAAAAACACTCAATCCAAAATTATGTAAAAAATATTCGATAATTACTTCATCAATTTATTCTTAATTTTAACTTTTTTAGCATGTTTAAAAAAGAAAATCAATGTGTAAATGGGTCGTTGTTTAATCAATTTATTTAAAATTTAAACGAAGCATACGATCCCTTTTATGATTGGCAATGTGTGACCACCCATACAAATAATGTATAACAGTATAATTTCAAGATTTTAATCACTCGTAATACAGTCGTAGTTTAACTTACCTTTTCATTTATTCTTCAATATTTTAATTAAAAACTCGTTTTAATATTTTCTCAATTTTCGTGTAATTAGTGATTCATTTAATTATAACAAAGTTAATGTTTTTAACTGGTTATGTGTAATCACCATGAAATAAGCTCGTGCGATTTTTATTGAATTTTACCCAGAATAACTCGGTCCGGGGTCACTGGTACACATACATTCATATTATGTAATATAAATTTTTTTACCATAAAATTAAAAATATCTGAAATATTTTGTCTTCGTTTATAAGTGTATTGTGTAGCTTTGAGAATATAACATGAGAATCAAGATTGCGCTTTACTTATTCCTACAAGTGAAAATTGTTGAAATATAAAGGCACATGTCAATTTAATATCATCAGATGTAGTTTTGTTTTGTTTGTGACAAAGAATGGCCTCGTTCTACCTGTTTAGGCTGCGGTTGTTTATGGTCAGCACGGACTGGACGAAAAGCGCAGCGTGAAGGGAACACGCAGCAGTCCAAAGGACGAAGAGCGGTGCTGCAGTATGTGGAGTAGGCCCAATCGCCCTTAGAACAGAACCTTCTGACCACTTTGACACCCTGTAGCCACCGAAACCCCTGCTTGTATGAATGCTAACACCTAGAAAATAAACATGTAACGTAAAACAATTATTTTCGATGATACAATAATATTAGAGAAAATGTAAGTAAAATACAAGACGGAACACTATACAATATATTTATTTAAAACTGAAAGTATTGTTCCACAGCAGAATGGATCTGGAAGTATATGATAACTCTTCGGGCTGGAAACCCATAAAAAGCCGAGACTTTTTAAATCTTAGTTTGTAAAAACTAAAGAAAAACACGACACCCTAGCTTGATGAGGAATGGAAGAATTCAAGAGAAGAAATGTGCATATAATATAATTGTGTGACACCCTCTGAAAAATAATTTGCCACTTTTAACACGACAGAGAAGAATGACACATCTACACGGAAAACAAACACTTTGGGCGCTGAAGGTGATCTCAATAAAGATCGAAACGTTGGCATGAAAAAAAAAATGTTTTTCTAAAACCTATACCAGACCGCATCTCAAGATCTTCGAATAATCATTTGACTATAGGTCTTACCTTAAGAAGGTTATTTTTTAATGCGCAGTTCTTATACATTTTTTATATAATTTTAATTTATTTTAGATTTTCTATAATTTTTATTTTACATTATAGGGTTTTTTTCTTTCCCTAACCATCCCTAACCATCCCCAAACCCTCAGGGTGCCGGTGTTTTTGAAAAAAAGCCCATTTGTAAGTATCTTTAATAAGATCTTAAGATCTTTACCTTACAGTGATGAGCGCCGTGTCAAAGACTAAACCTTACGGCCACCGACGCCCCAAACATTATAGGTTTATATTTAACATTTAACTAATGTTAAAAATACATCAAAAAATTTAAACAAAATTTTTTAAATTAAATTAAAATTAAGTTAAATTAAAACAATGTGTCAAACAACAAGCATTCAATGGCTTGCTATATTTATAAATTCATCCATTTAAAGGGTTTAACGAGGTTTTTTTATGGTTGTTTAAATTATACAAATACATGTCGGATATAATTTAAACAAAGTTTGTAAATCCCAGGTCCTGAAGATGGTCTCAATAAAGATCGAAACGTTGGCATAATAAAGAAAATGTTTTTCTAAAGCCTACGTCACACTAGACCGCACTTCACGATCTCCAAATAATCATTATATTTAGTATACTTACACTTCAGCATAGTTGCCTACCTGAGGTGGGAGGAATGTTACCAAATTACATTTAAGCATAGCTGATTAGCTGAGGAAGTAGTAACGTAACCGACTTACACCTTAGCATAGTTGCCTACCTGAAAAGGTAACAATGTTACCAACTTACACCTCAATACCTTGCTCAAGTTGTAGCAATGCTGCCAGCTTAAAATTAGCGTAGTTGCGTACCTGAAGTGGTAGCAATGTTACCAACTTAGACACCTCAAGAGACCGCGGTATCCGAGTGGTTAGCGTGAGAGACTCTTGGCTCATAGACCCTATATATAATTGAACTACAAGTACCAAATGAAAATAGGACAGAATTTATCATCAGAGATGGAGTGCAGGGAAGTTACTTCAAATATCAGCATTTATCAAGATTATGTACCAGGGCCTATTACAGTATCTCGAGATCCACCTTTATGGATCAATTAAACCAAGAAAAACATTATTATAAAAACAGTTTATCTCAGAGTTGACCAGATCAGTTGGTACTTTGAGGAGTTGTACCACCTTGGGTTTGATGATCCTGCAGTTTGCTCGTCATTTCGCATTCTTATTTTTAGTTATAAGAAGGGTGAAGCACTTAATAGCACAAACCTATTGCTGAAGTTTTCTCAGTTATTTAATCTTTATGAAAGGTATTGGTTGAAATAAAAAGCCAGTGCCACGGGCGGGATTCGAACCCACGGCCTTCGGCTAAATACCACATGAGCTATCGTGAATTCGACCCTCTCGGACACTACCTCTCCATCTCAACCTACAACCGTTCGAACCTTCCATCTTTTTGCCATTTTCATTTTGTTGTAGGTTGAGATGGAGAGTTTGTGTCCGAGAGATCGAAGCCACAATAGCTCAAGTGGTAGAGCAGCGGCGTATTTAGCCGAATGTCGTGGGTTCGAATCCCGCTCGTGGCACTGGCTTTTTATCTCAACCAATACCTTTCATAAAGATTAATTAATTGAAAAAAGTTAATTGGTCAATCGGTCCACGAACTCTAATGGATCTAGACTCTAATGGATGGATGACCTCCACTTAGCAATGGACCAACGGAAAGTTACTATACTTATCCTTCTTGATTTTTGCAAAGCCTTCGATTCTGTCTCTCACTCTTCTCTCCTCTCTAAACTCGAATCTTTTTCCTTCTCCGCCAGCACCATCCGTTGATTCCACTCCTACCTTACCAATCGCCACCAAGCTGTCTACCTTCCCAATGGCCCTCCTTCCTCCCTCTAAAATCTGGGGTGCTCCAAGGCTCTAGCATCTCTCCTATCCTTTTTCCCATTTATATCAACGACCTGCCCGACTCCATCCAGTCCTGTAACTATCACCTATGTGCCGATGACTCCCATATCCTTCCACCCTTCCGATCTTCACTCGGCCATTCTCAAGATCCAAAACGACCTAAACTCCATCAACGAATGTGCCCATAAAAATTCCGTAGTCCTCAATCCGTCCAAATCCACCGTCATAATTACCGGGTCCAGGCAACTCCTCAATTCCCTTTCCAGCAACCCACCTTTCATGCTAAATAACCATCCCATCCCCTTCTGCTCTTCGGTTAAAAACCTAGAAGTAGTCTTTGACCAAAACCTTTCCTGGCATGCTCACATTTCCCAAATTTCCCGCCATTTCATTGCCTCCCTCAGCCTGTTTCGTCGGTCCTGGCTTCTCTTACCTTCCTCCACCCGCAAACTCCTTGTATCTTCCCTTATACTTCCCTTCTTCAATTATAGCTGTTTGGCATACGGTGGTCTCTTGGAAGGGGAGAACGCGCGATTGAAGCGTATTATGAATTCTTGCATAAGATTTGTGTACGGCACCCCTCGGGGATCCCGGGTGTCGAGGTTGTATTCCCAACTTTCCTGGCTATTCCCCTCCTTCCGTGCACAGTATTTCCTAGGTTGCTTTCTTTTCCAGTCCATCCACACTCGTCGTCCTCCTTACATCATCCAATTCAACTCCTCACATCTCACTCGAAATCCTTCATCCCCAATCGACCTTATCCTTCCGCAACATACAACCCATACCTTGAAAGATCCTTTCTGATCCGAGCCCCTAAACTCTGGAACTCCCTTCCCCTTTCTATTCGTCACGCTGCCTCCTTTTACTCCTTTAAATCCCACCTGTTTAATCATCTCCTCTCCAAGCAGACACCTCACGTTAACATTTGTTATTTTTGTTTAATATTCTCGTAATGTTCTCTTCTGGCCTACCTTACTGGTATACATTGTGCCAAGATTTCTATCTTTTCTTTACTTTTACCTTCATAGAAGGAACTTCCTTTATTTATTTCATGTAAATTATTCTTAGTCAATTAGTTTCAGTCTGAGAATAAAGTTATTTTTCTTCTTCTTTTTCTTCTTCTATTGCTGAAGGTTGTTAGACATCTGACAGACCAAAACATTGTGAATGTGAAGACCAAAATGAACGCAAACGACCAACTTTTGAGAGTCTGTATTCCTGCTAATTTCAGCACTCAATCTGTGTGTCTCAGCTATCAAACTGTACGACCAAACTGTATAAAATTGTAGGTTTGAATGATTTTTCTCGGTAACCTAATTCTGAATGTTCAAATATTCAATTTATTTGTTTAGTAAAATGAGGCGTTTAATCTAATGAGGAAGAACTGAGTCGGCATTTATAAAAAAAAGTAGGGTAAATTAAATTGGAATTAAACAAGGTGCAGGTTGAAAGTTGCCTTTCCATTAGTGGTCACGTGATGCCGGTCCTTTCTATATTAAATATTACCCAGCCTATTTAATGAATCCCTCTCCTCCCCTCGTACAAACGTGATTATCTTTATTAAAAACGTACGCTGAATATTTTCCCGTTTCCCGACAGTCCTTCTATTAGCAGCTTATATCCTCTTTTCTGACGGCACAAGATACAGAAAATACCACTATAAATCCAAGGAAGAGAGACACCAATGGGCCAGATTACTGTGATAAGCCTATTACTTTGAAGACAGGTTGCGGCCCTAACAAAGGAAAGAGCTTCTCACATAAAGATGTGATCTAAGTCGTCATATTATTTGTGCTTTTCGAGATTTTCACATGACACCAGTCCAATTTATTATAAAATGGTTAAATTCACTTTGGTTAAAAGCAACGACACCCAGATAAATGACATGACTTAACAAATGTTAAAAAAAAAAAAAAAAACAGTGTTAGCAATACATTTATTTGTCCTAACTATGAGTTCGTGGTTTATTTTTTTCTTTTGCCAGCCTAAAGTTCCGCTTTGAAACTGAGACATTATTCACAAATTTAAAACAAAAATCACACAATGTAACAAGCAGATTAAAGCCTTAGTATTCAGTAGTTACGGTATTAAATAGATTATCAATATCCTGATAAACCTTCAACATTACAATTTTATATAAAAAGATAATTAAGGATGAAGCCAATGAGAAATGAAACACCCAGTTACTTCGCAAAGCTAAAATTATCAATTTAAAAGGTTAACAGAAATAAACATTTACTCACTATTTTGAAATCTTCTTGTCTCAAATACTTTGAAATTCATTAATTATTGTTTGTTATGTATTACGAGAGAGCATAATTTAAAGCTGACAATAAATTGGTAGGAAATTTAATAACAAAACATCCGTGTGAATGTTTAAATAAAGTTTCCCCTTGTTAAGGTCTTTCCTCGGTTCGACCCAGCATCTAAATTAAAAATGGTTTTTATTTTTTAAGGCTTCCTCTCCCCGCAAAACGTTTCACCACTTTATTTCTTCCGGTCTTTTATGTATTGTATTCCTCCCTTCAGCCCATGACCGCATATTTTTTTGATATTTTCTAGACAATTTTTGGGGACTTCTTCTCCAATGGGCATCTTTTTCGAACT